TGAGTTGAGAATACAGGATCCTACCAGTATTTACTCAAGATCCTATCAATGATCCTCTCAAGATGATGAGAGAGGATTCTGCCAAGATTTTATCAGGTTTTCGTCAGGATCTACGCCAAATCTTCGTATCAGGATTCTGTCAGGGTGTGGGTATGGGTGTAACGATTTAGGTTATCCACACCCACACCCTCGCGAAACGAAGAAAATTTCTGAAAAGAAGTTCTCTTAATTTTCCAACAGAGCTGACGATACTGGAATCAACATTTTACTATTAATGCATCAGCATACACATCTGTTCCTTAGTTCATAAATTAAAGAATTAATATTGATCGACGCACATTACTTAGTCTTTCTGTTTTTCAACTTATCATGAAACACATTACATACATTCTATATCAGCAAATACGTAGAAAATCTGTGGATCAAATAAAAACAGATTATTTTGTTCATAAGTGCTGATGTTTTTTTGATGATGTGAACACTTTTTAGAGATGTGTAACCAATGAGAAAAAGAGGAACAGAAAAAAAATTTATATAAATGTTCCATGGACCCTATAAATAGTCATTACTGTATTCATTTATTATTGTATTCATAGAGAAAGAATATTTTACATGAAATATTTATTCGGTTTGACTCTCTTAAATTTTATTTTTGCTTCGCCTCAAATCAATCTTCATTATACAGATTGGATAAATGAGAGTGAAAGCAATTATGTTTTACCACATAATTGTTTGCGTGTTGCAGTTGCTATTGATGAAAAAAGTACTTATCGTGAAATTACATCTTATTGTATGGATGAATTACCAACAAATTTTCATATTGAGAAACATAATAGCTTTCTAAAGTTCACCTTTGGTGAACTTTCAAAACGAAATATTACTAGTCAACAATTATATCTTTGGTCGACTCCATTTGATATTATTGAACGTTATCAATTTTATTTAAATCAATTATCAACATCAAATGATAAGTCTTTGGAAACACAAGTTTTCTATAATTGTACATTTCCAAGATTCGGTCCGATGTGTCAATATAAAATGAATTATTATAATGAAAGTCAAATATCTTTATATGATATTATTTATGATTATTATAATAGGTATCTGTATAATTCAACTTTTTTGACATGCTATATTCATTTACAATGTATTCGTGGCCCTTCTCCATTATGTATAAATTGGAGAGAAATTTGTGATGGAAGGGTAAATTGTATAGATGGTAAATTTGATGAAGAACATTGTTGGCAACTTGAAATCAATGAATGTAATGATAATGAATATCGATATACTAATGGACAATGTATACCAAAATCGTTTTTTCGAGATAATCGTGATATTCCTGATTGTATTGATACGTCGGATGAATATGGAATCGAAGATTCACGTCCTAGAGAATATTATGGAAGTGAACCTTCATTTAAATGTGAAGATATAGGATATACATTTTACACATTGTTAAAGTATTTCAAAAGAGCGAACTCGAAACTGCACATTGAAGCTTTATATTCGGCCAAAGATGATTCGATGTCTGAACAATGTTGGTCAGCTTTTAAATCACTTGTTAATCTAGAATTGTTCAATAAGACCTGTGAAAAAACAAAATGTCAAGAAATCGTTAATAAGATATGTCCACATATGTTTTTCTTTCCCAATGTTCCACTTTTTTTGGGTGACATTTACTTGGCACATACAAAAAAATGACTCATTAGCAATAGCCAATGGACTTCA